CAACTTGTTTCGAGTCACAAGCCCAATGCGCGTTGCAGTGGGCGTATCTATGATGTTAACCAATAACTACGCGTCACGTGGTTTATGAAAGAGATTTTTTTTTTTTGTACAATTGCGCATTTAGTCATAAAGAGTCAAAAAGAGAAATAATTCGATAGACGGAACGTTTATCTTTGAGGCTGTAGCGGCTAGACGACATTCGTTTATGACCCCTCAAACCAATAGAAACCATTGGGATTTGGCCAAACATCAAATAGTGCTTTCGTTTCACTCGCTGACTAGATAGGTCAGTGAGTGGGTTGCCAACTGTCATTTTGACGACGAAGGCGACATCAATGATAGAAGAAATGGCGTAGAGAAACAATGGCGACCGCTACAATTGAAAACGAGAGTTCATTCGGAATGGCAATATTATTTGCTTATCGGCCGCAGAAAAAAGAACGGCCACAAATTTCGACTGACTATGTCTCTCATGGATATGGGTAAATCTACATTTATCATATCTGTGAACGCTTAATGAAACTTGCCATTGGGTCTGCGTTGTTTCGTAACCGAGGCGTAACTTTTAACATCTATACACCCAGCGATAGATGAAACGTGTAGAAGACGTTACTTTGCTGAACAGAAGTTCTTATCGTGCGTAAGCCGTCTCGGTCAGCGCCTCTAGGGTCCACGCTCTACGTAGTTAACACTCAGAGTTGACATTAAACTGAAGGTGTGCTGTCAGAGGCTACAGTGCCGCCTGTCTACGGTTAGTATGAAGTTTTTCGCTGTGTACATTATGAATCTATCCCGCAAAAAGGAAGTAACGACCAGACAACTGAAAAAATATGGTACTTGAGGCAGATATCCGCATCTACTCAACTAACAAAAATACAGGTAGAATCTCGAATCACGATAGACACCTTGAAACCCGTGTCAAAACAAACCGTCCTATAAGATTCACCCTCTAGCGGCGCTCATGTAGGCCTTTTTAGTGGTTTTGTGACGTCCAAGGGGTGCCAAGTGCCAAAACTTCTATCTAAGATTCTATAGATTCTGTATCATAAACGTCATACGTTCCGTATCATTGAATAAGCATCTGTTGATTTGTGAGCTGAGGCGCGAACGATCGGGGAAGTTCATTCGAATACAACCTGAGTCTTTACTCTCTAAGAACCGTGTACAAAGTCGATTTCTATAGCAAGTATATAGGAAAATACTCTTAGGCTATAATCGCCATAGTCGTTTACTGCGTACTATACATTTGATGTACCAACAAATTAAAGGCCGCGGCTCAATATTTCTTAAGTTAAAGCGTTCTACGCGTGTCGAAGGCCTTGTCGAAGTGAAAGTCCTTTCGGAAAAGCTATCGGCATTGAGACGCCTGGCTCGTACATGGTGAACAATCTAAGTCGATCATTCAAATAGTATAGGCCTGCTGGCAACGCGGAAAACTGGTGGAATTCATATTAGTTCTTTCATTACGGCTCCGTCGAAGGTCGATTGCTTAAAAGATTTGGATCAATCTCGGACATCATATACGCAGAGAGGAATGCAATTATAGCTAGGCCTATTTGCCTTGCGTTAGAGTAAAGGTCTGTCAAAATAGTACTGTTAAACAAAATGAGTTTCGAGCTGGCACTCGAGAACTTTGTGCTTAAGGATCTGTCAACAACAGAGAATGGGGGCTTATCGATGATTCTAAAGGTTGATATTACCCAGAGAATAAACGCCGACTGTGACTATAAACAGAATATCGAAAACGTTACGTTCTCGAAGCGTCGAATTAGAGCAATACCACTCGTTTTTAGTTGTTGTAGCAATCTACGTTTTGCGTCGGATTCATTTTGAGAGGCTTAGAAGATAGAAGCAGTTAGATTGAGCTGATGTCGACGTTCACCAAACAGAAACAGTATCAATACAAGATCGAAGAGGATATGTGTTCAGCAAGCCGGAGTGGTCGTACCACTTATTTATTCTTTCAACGAAAACTCAACGTAACTTGCAGCTGGCTAGCCAGCACGTATGTCCGTTCGACAGTTTGATTGAAACGTACGTTGAGCTTAAACATAGTGTTCGCGGCATGTAAACAACTATACAACAAACCAACACGTTCAATAAATAGGAACTGAGCGTACGCGGATCTATGCTATAGATGAATATTGATTACGCATTGCGTTTTGCTTCGACAGACAACAAACGAATCCGTCCTTGTCTCCTAAAACAGCCGTTTGAAGTAATCCTGCCGGTGAAAAAAGAAAGAAAGTATTGAAGAAAAAAAGCACAAAATAACTGTACTCGCAGACAAGGCATATTGAATAAGATTGAAATTATTAAGCCGCGACGTAAAGCTGAACAATACAGCAGGACAACAGTGGCGCCAATTGTAATCTTGATTTGACCCGATGCTCTTTTTTCGGTTCCCGACGAGGGGGATGCCGTCGACGACGAAAACGAAGCCCACTATTGTGGAAAAACAAGGATGTTTATCTCTTTTTTCCTCCCGTTGTGGATATTATGTACGTTTTTCTGCTGTCGCTTCGCCATTTGTCGTGAAGGAGAACGAAATTTGGGGAAAACTGCTTTGAGAACAGTGCCAGTCGAACCACCGAAGCTGTGCCTGGCAATATTCATGCAAGTTCTGGTTATATCTTTTATTTGCTAACTCGTAGCTGGCAGGATGCCTATCGTTGGAGTAGCTGGCTATCATTTATATCTATCTGCTCGTATGATCACGGTTTGGAGATCTGGGTCTTTATAGTTTTTATTTTATTTATTTTTCTTCTTTTTAATTTTATTATCAAATTTAGGTCAGGTTTTACTTTATTTAGCGGAAGAAGATCGTAGAAATGAACGGTGTATTTTAAAATCAGCGCAAATGGAAATTTAATGCAGCGACCATTCATAGGTACTACATACATACAGAAAGGATTTATCGATTTTCAATGTAAACGGCGACCACTGAGCCCTGCGAAACGCGCAACTGGCGCAAGCTTGAATAAACATAGAAGAGAGAATCAGGTCCCTGATAATGATCAATTTCCCCCTTTCAACTAAACAAGAAAGAAAAATATAAGCTCAGAATTGTTTTCTGCGTGTTCGTTTGAAAATAGAATACCATAAAAGAGTCAGTACTTTAACTAGTATTGACTATATGTTTATCCGTGTGGGGCAATGCATATAGGGTGGCCATTAAACGACCCTTATGGGATGATGTCTACGGAAGTATAATAACAGAAACTACTAGACGCATCATATTATTTCTTTTTGCCGTTGTGTACTATATGTTACAAATTTAAGACTCTTTATATGCTCAGTGTACCATTGAACATTAGCAGAATGTTTAGTTTTATTTATCTTAGGCCTGATGACGCAACGATATAAATAGGCAATGGAAAAGGGTCTGAGGAAATTTTATGCGGTCGTTGCACCCTCTTAATAACACGATGTTTAGATAGATCGATCTATTAGCAATTAAGATGCCTTAAAGACAGCGTTTTTTAAGGCAGATACAAGAAAGGCCTACACAGGTATCTGTACAAGCAAGATTTATGGTGAACAACAGCGGATCCTTTACGACATCGATTATCTGAGCAGAATCCTCAGAAAAAGTATCTTGACTTGATTAGAACCGGAGGAGACTGACGGTCCATAAACCTACAACTCACCTTGTAAGCGATCTTGTAATATATGAAGCGAGATTTATGAGGCCAGTTGTTTGCAGAAATATACAGAAAAAAAAAAGCCGGGAAAACAATCAGGTCGGGAAAAGCGTCATCTTCGTTCAAACGGGTTACTTACTTACATATATAT